TAGTGAGTTGAGTTGGTTCCGTAAATTTTGAAGTTTACTTATGTGGGTCGATATATCATCAGAGGAACTTTTACTGTAACTAAAAAATTTATTTTGTAGTAAATGTACACTTGCCTCTGTTTTTTGCTCGTAGACACTCAGCAACTTATTCCACATTTCATTGGCGGTTTGACAATTAATTAAACATTGTAACGGTCCATCATCCACTGACGTTACAATTATCTTTTGGCATTTTCCGTCTGCCCTTCGCCATGCAGATATTTCATTAGCACACCTCGCCCGTGCTTGTTCTTCTGTTTCAGTGGATGTTTTGACTAACCTTGGTTTTGGTATTTCTCCGCTAAGTATTCCTTCCAGGTCAAAACTGTTCACAATGACCCTTATTTGGAATTTCCATAACAGCCATCCTTCTGCACTGGACAACTTAGTAATCTTGACCGAATCTTCCATGACGTCGATCGAACTGTACAATTGTCTGTACCAAGAAATATTACCTTTAGTCAGTAAGTATGTATTGGTCAGTATTCGATGTTTGACTTTTGAGTATCGTGGCCTGGGCCAATAACCTGTTGAGATTAATTGTAGTGGAACACAAAAGAAATAACAAACAAACACTTTGAGTAATAATAGAGTTAATATTATAGACACAAGTTAAACCAATAATAACAATACAATATAGATATATGTATAAGTCAAAAGTAACAAGCACATTAACAAAATAGTAGCTGTGGAACGAGTGTGTCCCCTTGTCCACATACAAAGGTATTTATATCATAAATCTAGGTTAAATCAATTCATACAAAATACTTTCTAAGATTTCACATACAATAGTGTCTTCCTCGACATACTAAACTAATCACATTAAAACTACCTTAGAATATTAATTACATTTCAACACAATGCCCTACTTATGGTTATTTAGTATTCTTTTTCTGCAAATTTTCCGTTGTGTTTATTTAAACAATAGCGAAAAACAAAAAAAACTTTGGTTCAAGTTTCGTTTTGCAATTGTTGTTTTTGTATCTATTGTTTACACAGTATTGATAACAAAAATATGTTATTCTTATACTTTAAAGTTTAACGTGTGATGAAGCAACGTGCGACATGCGAATATTGTGTATTTTTATTATATCCAAAACCGCCAAAAACAATGACCGTAGTAAATATTATTAGCAACCCATGAAAATTTCCATTTCTTGCCAATGTCACTTGTTATTTTCATTAGAATAAGAGGTCTTAAGACGTTAATCATTTTGGTGAATTATAATTTGAAAATTATAATATGCTCCTATTCAAGTTTCTATATTATTTCGTCGAGAATAATACTGTAAAGTCATCTTCTCAATAATTATTCTATACTTATTTATTGATTAATTCATACGGACAATGTCTAATTTACAATCTATTAGTATAAATAACAAATAAGATATTACGTAATAAAATATAAATAGAATAATACATAGGTTGACAATGTTTATTAAAATAATTGACTATTTCCAGAAGACATTAAAATAATAATTGGGTCGTTTGACGTTTACCTTTTAGAAAAACGAGGAATATAAAATAAATTATTGTTGCGAGAGTAGTGGTTATTAACTTTGAAATTTGATTGACAAAATAAAAATGAATCATCAATCTCGTTATTTAGCAATCTGGAGAGAAAGGTGTTGTATGATATATTTCTACGAATTTTTAAAGTTTCTAAACTTAACATTTTTAAAATGTTTTTGCAACCAGTGTGAGGAGTTCTTTGAATACTATATTTATGCCATATAAATTTGAGGACTTTATTTTGCACTGTTTCAAGTCGACCATTATGTCCTGCAATGTTGTGGTCCCAAATTAATGGAGGGTATTTTAATAAGGAAGAGACTAGTGAGGTGTATAGACATTTGAGAGCAAGTGGATCATGAAAATCGGAGCAGTTGCTTATCATACCAAATACAGCTAGAGCTTAATTTGTTATCGCTGATACGTGAGCATTGAATAATAATTTACAATCAAATAAAAACCCCAAATCTTTAATCAAAGTGGAACGATATAAGTTAATGTCAGATATATGATAATTAAAATGAGAGGAATTGTGCTTTTTAGAGTGAGTTACAATTTGACATTTGTCGATATTCAATGAAGTGCCGTTTAAAATGCACTATTCGTTAAATGCAGCTAAATGACTTTGAAGGAGCTTAATAGTATCATCAAGGGAAGTGATGGATTTGAAAATTTTTGCATCGTCACAATATTATGTTGGAGTGTGCAGCTATAGAGGACACAACATCATTTATAAATAAATTATATAGGAGAGGGGAGAGCTACTCTAGACATTACGTTTATAGGTGTTGATATATAATTTTTATATTTACAAATTGGGTTCGATGACGTATGAAACAGTTAAACCATGATAAAAGGCATGATAGGCAAAGCCAATTTCCTGCATTTTATTGATTAATAAAGCGGGGTTTACTGTATCAAAGGCTTTCTCCAAATCAGTATAAATAACATCGGTTTGTTGGTTATTGGAAAAAGATTATATTATATGATGCTTTATAGTTATTAAACTAATAAGAGATGATTTATTGTTACGAAATCCATGTTGCTGTGGTGCTAAAATATTTTTAAACATATGTGTAAGTTTATTGTTTATTATTTCAGAAAATCTTTTTGAGAGGATAGAAATTATTGATATGGGACGGTAGTTTGAAATGAATGATTTATTACCTTTTTTAAGAATTGGATTAATATAGGTGGATTTCCAAAGCGATGGGAATGAGCCACTATTTAAAGAAATATTGAAAAGATACGTGATAGGTGGAGAAAGTATAAATCTGCAGTTGAATAAAAATATAGGAGAGAGACCATCAGGACCAATAACGTTTTTATACGAGAGTACATCTAATTCATTGAAATCTTCAAGGAGTTCAATATGAAGTGTATTTAGTCGATTAATAGATTGAACTATATTAGACTGAAAATTATTATTTGTAGGAACTGTATCATTATATACTAAGAAGTATTGGCAAAATGAGTCAACAATTTCTTGATAATTTTCAGCTGTCTTTTGGTTAAATGAAATTGAGTTGGGCAAACCAGTGAGACGTTTTAAGGTTATTAATAAAATACCAAAATTTCTTAGGGTGGGATTTAAGAGATTTTTGAATATTATTTAAATATCGGGAGTAATCTAGCCTACTTACAACTATATATTATGTATATATATATATATATAGATTAACTATCGAATTGCTAATAATATTTACTGTAATATAATTCACTAAAACGTTCAACCAAAACCTAATTATTCCAGCGTGGATATAATGAATTATGCTAAAAAAAAAAAAAAAACAACTAACTAACTAACTAATCTAACTAATAAATTAAAAAAAAGTCTTTAAAACGCTTTACGGTGATTGTAGAAATCTTATTTTGTAAAAAATATTTCAAAAGGCTACGGTTCTCTTGATTGGCGTTATAAACTTCAAAGTTCAGTCAAATACTATTTTGCCAAAAAAAAAATAGCTTAACATGCACATCTAAATTAATATACTAGTCACTAGAAGAGGTTCCTCACGCCTCCCTAAATCTTCTTACCAAAAGGGGAAAAACACAATGACCTTAAAATAACATATATGATAATAAACCAAATATGATTCACACGGGTTGTTGTTTCATAGTTTTAAAAAATCGTCAACAAGTCAGGCGGATCATGAAATTCTAAAGACCTTGAGTATTAGTCAGCGTTAGGTGCACATGTACAATATGGGTATCTAAATAATGTTTACAGCGTGTAGAATTTTTTTACATAAGCGGTTACTGTATTTTCATTTATGTAAACAGTGAAAATAAAAACGCACATCGAATCGCCCAAGTGTGTTTTTAAAGTACAAAAATCGCGTTCTTAAATCGTGCGCCGTTTTGCAAAAATATACAAAAACTTTTCTACGTATTGAAAAATAGTATATACATCGCATTGGCCTAAAACGGAGCTCCTAATTAGTTGGAAATTGGCCACCAACTTTTGGTGTCACCACAATTCCAAATATTTTAAAATTGAGTAGAACACAAAGCAATGGGCACTTTTAAAATTGATAAATCTTCTTTTCAGCTTCGATGCGGAGCTGCAGCGATGTTAGCTATTAGCAATGAGCTTCTTTTGTGTCTGTATACACTGTGACTTTTTTAATACTGGACCAATTCTTTTGAGTAACAGCTCTATAAATCACAAAATGTATCTATTTGATATTGATTCGCATCGAGTTGAAGTTCATAAGGAATATTTACTAGGGATGTCCCTGTACGTCAATAGTCTTAAATTTAAATGATACCAATTTGCTCCTCCCCCCTCCTGGGGCTGCAAGGTTTTTTTAGGATTTTTTAGTTGAAATTCGTCTGGAGTTAGAACTCAATTTAAATAGGAAGTGTAATATTAAAACAACAACCTTTGGGTGTTGTAAATAATTGCAAAGTATTAAAATTAAAGGTTCAAAAGTTAAAATTAACAATTTTTGGGAGCAGGTTTAATCTTAAAATTGAATTTCCTCAGAAGTGTATTTATTGAGTTGTAGCAGTCTTGCTTCAAGGGCGCGATATGATTCGTACTAATTGTATGTAATTTTATTTTATAATAAATAATCATAAGTGTTCCTCAATTTTAATGTAGAAGAAAATATCATAAACAATTAAAACTAGATTAATCTGTTAAACTTCTACACGGTTCTTTTAGGTACTTATAATCAAAATAGAATAAACCCATCCTTAAACACTATGTAGTTTGGAAACACGAATTAAATTCAGTTGTAAAGCCTTGATTATTACTGTACTTAAAAGTCCCTCATAAAACAATAGGAGAATATATTTCAAGAACGTTATAAGGGTAAAAAACTATACATTTGTAGCTACACACACCATTTGTTATATTACCAAGAACTAACATATATTTAATTCGAAATACAATACGAATAAATAACTTACAAACCTATCACCAATTATTATATTAGATAACTAAAAAAATGCCATGTAACAGTTATAATAATAATTTATATTAATTAAAAATGATTTATCACTTATTACTAATCGACATCTAATTTCCTAAATGAACCTCCAGTAATTGTGTTTTCCAAATGATCCAAACTGTTTCTGGAATTCTTTGGGCGTTTACTATTATCTGCAACAATTGATGATTGGATAAGAAACCATTCTCGGTGCTTAATCAATTCATCCTGCCAGTCAGCTGCAATCAAATTATTTCAGTTAAAAAAATATAACTCATACACCATGTATAATATATTTTTTTAAATAATTAAAGTATTCATTTTTCAGTTAGGTCATATAACAAAAAATATCATTAGCTACTAAAACTAAAACAATGAGACAGTTGTGAAATGTAGTAGTAGTTTTACTAGAAAATAAATAAAACAAATAAAAACCTCAAAAATATATACGAGTGCTAATTTATAAATTGTATACATTAAAAAAATCAGTCAAGTAGTAAAAAAAACGTAGATTCAATTGCAAAAAACCACAGCGTTCTAAAACTAATAGCTCTTTAAAATACATGTACAATTTTGTGATAAATGCTACTAACCAATCATTTCATCAGACGTCTTTGGATAAGTCCCTCCGAAGTTTAGTGGAAGAACACTAGGATCTATGTAATTTTTCAGATCTTCGACGGATTTGTGAATGAACACCTGAAAAACATATTGTTTCATTTAAATGCGTCGTAATAACTTTTAAACCAGAAATAATTTACTCTTTCGTTAATTTTCTTTTTTAGAAGACTCAACATTAGATTTAATAATGGCTGTACGAAACTTGTTGTATTAATAACGTGAATTGAATGTGCTCGAAGTGGAAATGCTGCCTAAAATGTGATAACAATAAAAATAAATTATCTTACACTTTTTCGTTAAGATTGCCATACCATTAAAATTAAAAAATGTATACACAATTATATATATATTTGTTTATTCTATATACACAATCACACACAATTACATTTTCTCAATTGTATTTATTGTTAAATAACTAAAAGTTCGATTTCTTTTAATAGAAAATAATTGTAAGTAATTCGGATACTATTTAAAGGAAATTTAAAGGGTATTCCGTTTTGAAAAATGTATGCATTTTTACGGGGTTATTTTTAATTTGGAAAGAAAAGGAGTAAACTAGTTCAATTTTCGAAACTTAAAGTATGGCGACAAACGTGTAAGTGAAATTTTGACAAGTCAATTAGGGAATAATATTGCCAGTTGTTATAGTGAGACTAAACCCATGCGAAAATAATTAAAAGTGTAAATATTATATCAATTACAAATTACAATAGCTATGATATTAGTTAACATTATTTGAATTTAACAAAACGTTACATTGTTGTTTAACAAAATGTTCGGTACAAGCAAAATTTACAAAAAATAAGGTTTGAGCTAATACTAAAATGTGTTAATATAGCAATTGACAATTCTCACTTATGACTATTATTACTTTATTGATATTTAAGTACTTTATTAGATTACCACAGTGGCCATTATAGCATTTGTCTAACCCAGATACGCGGAATTGAAAACCAGTTTGATCCTCTATGATCAAGTTCATAGCACATTATATTTGAACGAACTAAATGGGTTTAAAGGTTTAATGCTAGATGTTCTTATTCCAAAAGTAATAAACATTCTCTAAGACCCGATCGAAATGGCCAGAGCATCGAAGCAAAAATTTACTTACTTGCGCACTTTCAACGACTTTCTTAATATTCGGTAAAGCTGCAGCTATTTGATTCATTGTTGTATTTTTATAATCCATTATGATTATTTCTTTTTTAAAGGTGTCTAACTTACCGATTCTGAGATCGAGTGTCATAAAACATAATTTATTCACATCACCATGTACATATTTACCATCGGTGTATCCGTCCCTTACACAATATAGGCTTACTCTGTTGCCCTCATGTGTAGGTTTTGGAAATGGAAAGTAACAACTGTAAAACAATGTATCCATTAATAACAAATTGTTAATCTAATATTGGTAAATTACTCATAAAATTTAAGAACATTTAATAATTGTACTTATAACGTGCTATGATAAATAATTGACTTTTATTATGTTTCTGCTTTTTTTTTTATATAACGCCTTACGTGGTTTACATAAAATAAGCAATGTAAAATATTTTAGTATACTGTTTACTCGTTAAATACTGATTATTGTCACTATACAGGTTGATTTATTTATCATGGGCCACTTAACTGGTCGATAGGACTTCATAAGGAATTTATTTATTTTTTCATATCGTTTTTTGGCAATGTGGTTATGTATGTGATTTAAAAATGTTTACAATGTTCTTGTTTTTACTCCCCTCCCAATAAATTGTTTATTTGACAGCAACGTTTGAATTTTAGGAGGTAATGCATTACATTTCATAAACTTTTGAAATTAAGATAATTTTTTACAATTATTTTGATTTTTACTCCCCTCCCAAGTCGGTATTGAAAAATAAAATTATTTATCACAGCACGTTCGTGCAAAATCGCCGTTTTGTCTATTAAAACGACCAATACGACTATTTGAATTGGCGCAATTAAACATATACTATAACAAATCTATGATGTATATATTATGACACTAACGATTGTTGTATTGATTGAATTAGCTCTGGCGCTGTGGGATCCCAATTGGAGAAGTATTCTGGTACTAAACGTTTTATAGTGTAGTGTCCGTCCAATACTGCTTTGGTTTTCTCCAAACTATTCTTGCACGTCAACAGTATATTTTTGATTCGCTTTTCGTCCACTTTTTTTTCATCGTCTAATCAACAATACTAAATCGTTTGAGTACTTAATTATTTTACGCGTCACACCGGCAATGTGATATCATTCGGAGAATAAAATATTTTTAAATGCAAAAAAAAAATGTATGATTTAATATTTAAAATTTTACCGTCTGGGTCAGGCAGGTGAGGTTGTTTTCGCATCCACTCTTTGAGAATTTTCACGTCCTGTTCCAATTTCGTCTCGGAAGTACCCAATTCGGTGTATATTTCACTGATCGTTTCCAGCTTTGGTAGTATTAACGTTTTAGTTTCCATTTCTATCAAAGTGGTAATTTACAACACGAGATCTTCAAGTGTAACAACAATAACTATTTGGTTAGCTCACAATGCCAACAATAATACACATTGCATTGTATATTACCACTAGGCGAAGAAATGTGTAACACTATTATGTATTCAATGACGTCCAGTTTTACACAACAGGCGAACAATGTACAAGGTTGTTCATTGATTTATTTTTTTTAGTTTAAAAATTAAATATTTTAATTAAATCATTTATGTTGAATTGTGTGCTCACACGTCCGTCTCGTGGGAAAAAATTGCATTCACGAATTGTTGAGTTTTTGGTCATTTATAGTATATTATGCATTTTCGACATATTGTACTGCTGTTATTAAGACCGAGTAATAACTGTAATAATACATTTGTTTGCCATCGAGTTTGGTTACCATTTTTATCCACTAATAAAATATTCCATCTCCTCGGTCACCACTAGCGACTAAAATATTTAACAGCTTTTACCATACTTAATGTTGTAACTATTTTATTTTTAAAACCTTATAACAAATGTTTCAAACAAATTTAACAAATACTATTGAACATGTCTAGTGTTAAAAAATATTTAATTCCTTCAACATACATGATGTAATACTAATCCCCGACAAAAACCTAAAAGCGAAAAAGGCCAAGTTCCTGACCCCCTCCCAAAAAAAGTCACCCTATCAAAGTAGTGATATATACATTGTAGCCAAGTCTGATATTTCTTTAGTTCATAACCTCACTTTACTCCTACTTTCACGAGCAACACTGGTCTTTTATTTGTATTGCTTCACACTTGGACAGTTTCTAAATGAAACACGACCTCTCTGAATAAGGCATAACACAGACTTCGCCGCAACGTAGATACCACTACTTTGACTGGCTGACTTTTTTGGGTGGGGATCTAAACTTTTTATCTTTTCTTCTGTGTTCTCTCCTTCCCATCACCCACGTAACTCCTAAGTGACGAGTCACTTGATAATGATGTTTTTTGCTTAACATAAAATATTTAAATAAAAAGAATACCTAAAAAATGCTATTGAGTCAAAATATAATGGTAATCCATCCGAATCCATAATAGTTAACTAGTCTTAAACAATTTCGACAAACAATTTAAAAAATATTTTACGGTATTGTCAATCTCAAAAAGTTTAAGAAACAAAATAAAATAATTCAATTCAATGCGTCTCGATGTATCCGTCTGTACCAGCTGAATTGGTATTACTATTATTGTAGTTTGTATAAGAAGCAATCGGTGTGTTATTTTGCAATTGAACCTACTTTTTTTTTTAACCTCTAGACTGATTTTTTTAAGTATACAATTTATAAATTAAAAATTGTATTTGTTTTTAGGATATTCAATATTTGTTCTGTTAGTTCAATTTATTATAAAATATTAAGTTTTTTTCATTTTAATTAATCTAATATAAAGTTCAACAATATCACAAATAATAAACTTAAATAAATATTTATACACTATTGTTTGTTTTCCAGTAAAACTACTACTATTGTCTCATTATTTTTTTTTTAGTAGCTAATGTTGATTTTTTGTTATTTGTAATATGACCTTACTGAAAAATGAATACATTAATTCATTAAAAAAAAAATTATACATGGTGTACGAGTTATTTTTTTTTAACACAAATAATGTTATCACATTTCATGCTGCATTTTCACCTCGCGTAATTAATACACATAGTTTCGTACAGCCATTATTTAATTTGATGATGAGTCTTCTAAATTTCCGAAAGGGTTAACTATTTCTGGTTTAAAAGTTATAAGGATGCATTTCAATGAAATGTATTTTAAAGAACCAAAGAGCTATTGGTTTTGGAATGGTGTGCTTTTTTGCAATTGAATCTACATTTTTTTTTACTACTAAACTAATTTTTTAATGTATACAATTTATAAATTAGCAATCGTATACATTTTTGAGGTTTTTAATACTTGTTCTGCTGTTATTTTAAGTTTCATTATTTTAATTAATCTTATTTATATTCAAATCAATATCACAATTGTTTAAATATTTTACCATACTATTATTTATTTTCTAGTAAACCGGACATCATTGTAACGGACATGCAGGGTAAGTTTCTTAATATTCCGTTAAACTATGGAAATGAGCAAAACAGTGTTTCGGGTTTTATTAAGCTATACATTTTGCCATAAAAAATCTTAGTTGTAATTACTAAATCCACAGTTAAAACAACTGCTAAATGTTAAGTTAAAACAACTACACATTAAGATAGTCCACTTTCATAATTTATAATTTTTATAATACCATTATGAGCGCAGAATTTTTAATGTTTTATATTTACTATTTATTACAAAATAACAAAACCGCTTTGCTGTTTTAGAGTGCTTTATACTACATTCGATTCTTACTATTTGGATATTCACAACGAAGCCTTTGATTATAAAGAAATCACTTTCAGATTTAATAATATTCTCTTGACTCCTGAATAGTACACTAACAGTCTGTCGTTAGCGTTGAAGATGACAGCATTGATGCCGAAATACGTGTACGCGGAAAATGTATTATTTTATGATGAAGGGTTTTCAAAGAATCATTATTATAAGCATAAGTTGTTTAAGTTTTTTCTAGATCCTATTTTTTAACTTTTTACTCAGCTTGTTTTACAGTACTTACTTTTGCGCTGGATTATACCGTACCTGGTTTAAACTAGACTAGTTTATTTTTAAAATTGTGTTTAGGAGAACAATTAAGATTATGAAAATTGTGCAAAGTTAGATTAAAAGTGTAACTGAACAATGTATATTTAGAAAAATATACACTGTTATAAATAAAAGACACAATAATAATAATGGTTGCGTATAACTTTAATATGCATTTATATATAATATATTCAAGTGTGATTGTATTTTTATAATTTATATTATTATTTATTATTACATTTAATAAAACAAAAAAATGTATACATATTAGTTTGTTTTACTGAGCCTTGTTAGCAAGAGCCGTTGGGAAATGTTTTATAAAGTATTCTAAAATAATTATACTTTAACATTTTTGAAAATGTTTAGTGTGAAAATAGTCCACGCACTGCGATTTCTGACATTAAAAAACCCCAGATGCCATCTAGACTTCTGTATATACTTTGTTGACGTCCATGGAATAAGATACAATCACGTTTTTCGTAGTCAATTATAAGTTTGGTTATGTACCAATCTGGAAATGTTGCACTCAAGTATATCGCTGTCAAACGACACAATCGTCGGAAAGCGGCCGCAGTAATCCTATGTGCATACACGGGTTTTTCTAAAATACATTAAAATTTTTTTTAAATTAACATACAAATAATATGTTTTTTTTTATGGTATTTCTAGACACTATGCGTTAATGTATATTAATAATAATAAATGTATTACTGTTTTAAAACTCATACAACTTCATATTAATATTTACCTAATATAGGTTGGATTATATTTGTTATAGCTGGTCTAGTAAAATTCCTTCTATTTTTTCCAAGGGTTTCCAAATCTAAGCCTACAAAATCCACAAAAATAATTGTTACATGCCAGCATAAAGTAGACGTTAAAAAAATAAAAATAAAATATTTTAGTTGCTTGTGGTGCATAATTCAAAGAATCGTGATTCAACTAATTTGTTGTATTCAACCCCTATCTCCCATCCCTATATCCTACCCCTATCTCCCATCCCTATCACCCACCTCTTATCTTCCACCCCAATTCCACCTTTATCACTATAAGATATTGAGTGGTTCACGATAAAATGATGACCCTGCGTACACTTATAATTTGTTTTTCTTTTGAGAAGTGTTAAATATTAGTTTACAATCAAAATGTCTCACTCTTTTTTCTCTTTCTGTATCCATAATAAAAAGTTTATTTTATTAAAATTGTTGTTTGACATAAAACATTTATTTAAGAAAATTAAGCAAATTTCATCTCTAAAGCAAGCAACGCCATTTATGACTATAGAAAATTCGTAATTACTTTGGGTTTCATCAATTGCAGGATCGCCAAGTCCTGTAACAAACACATCAAATCATTATGCACTTATAAAACTCAGTCTGGTGGAAGTTAGGGTAGATTTGAATGCGGGGTACATTTAAATGATGCTGATAAAACTATTTTCATTGGGCAGAAAATAACGAGAAAAATATATTTTTAGTAATCACGCTGTTTGAAGTATCGTTTGTGTTATCTGCGGAGTCTGATTTCAGACTGATTATGTGATTAATAAAAATAAAACTGTCATTAATTTTAAGTACAAAATAATGTCTTCGAATCCTAAATTTGGTTTTCTATCAATTTGGTATTTACACGTAGATTTATTGTAATTATTTTATCTGATGTATTACTAAATATTAACAATTATAAAGTGAGATGGATTTGAATTGGCGACCATGGAGTCCATTTCAATATTCTACTCTGTAGAACATTCATGTTCTATATTTACTTTAAATACAGAAAAACGTTTTTTCTACAAATTAAATTGTATTGTACATATTCAAATATATTATTCAGACACACTCAAATCCGTCCCCGTTAAATTCAAATGTACCCCATAACAAGGGTACATTTGAACAAAATTATACATTTATAGATGAGAAATGATAAATTACTTGATTGATAAAGTTGGGAATAGTATTATAATGTGTACAAATATTTAAACTACAGATTGGAACTCCCAAACTAGAAATTTTCCATAATATTAAATTAGGGAAAATAATGATATGATTTAATTTAAATTTACACCTTCTTCCTCTATATATTTTATATAAAACAGTCACTTAAAATTAATATTAACTAGAGCAAATAATTATTGCTAAATATTATTGAATAAATGTTTAATTATTTCTAATAGCAACATTTGTAGAAATAGTTAATATTATATTTTGAATAATTATCAAACGTATAAGTATAAAACATAATATGTTATGTAGCTTTTATTTAGTTTTTTATAGTTCTTCTTTAAAACTACAAACTAGTATGTTTATTATTTTTTTAAATTTTATATTTACCCAATGTATTTTTTATTTTAAGGCCCATATTATACTGGTAATGTTTTAAATCTAAAATTTAAACAAATTATATTTCATTGTACTTACATCTTTTTTATGATTAAAGCCAAAATGTTTTATTGATGTTATTCAATAGGTACATATGGCTAATCGTAAAGTATTTATAAACAATAAATATGCGTTAAATATATTAAATATGAGTTATAAAAATGTGGTTACTGGTCGTATTGTCATCGGATGGCACAACTGTTTCTTTTGAATCTAAAAAAAAAAATCTTGTGTGCATAAAGAATATAAAAGAACTGTAAGTATCAGGTCCATATTAGGCAATGAAAATTATTACCCACAAACAAAAGAATAGTTTTTTCCTCTGAAATTAACATAACATAGATTAATGATATTGTATTTAAATTTCTATAATATTGTAAACAGAAAGACAAGGAAGCTCAAGGTGTGAAGAAATGTGCTCCACCGTATATTCAATGCGATGGGAATCTCTGCAAATTAAATGTGAATGAAGTATTTTCTTAAAATTGAACAAAAATTATTACCCGGTACAGTGATCATTGAATTGATTATAGCTGAAATTGACATGGCATATATTAATGATATTGCAATAATTTATTTGCTATTAAAAGCTATTAAAATTACATAGTTAAAGATTAGAAAACGAAATTTAAGTAGAAAAAAACTATATTAAATGACTAGGGAATCTTTATGAAAATATAATTGCTGAATTGAAGCAGTTGTGGAGATGAGTATAAAATACAAAAACAGACCAGATTGACAGAGCTAACAGCAGTGTTTTTTAAATAAAAATTCCATTTAGGTTTCGGAAAAAATTGTAATGTTTTTATCACTTTTCAACTACACAAAGATAAATTGCACATACAAGTTTTATAGTGATTATGTTTTTTCTATTTTTTTCTTTAGTTTATTATTATTATTATTATAATTATGATTACCAAAATCTTTAAAATGGACGTCATCATCAACCAGTTCATTAATTATTTGCTCCAATTTACCTAGAATAAATTAAAAAAAAATTAGGTATGTACTGAAATATTGAAATAAAATTAGATACCATATAAATACTTAGAATAATAGTAATTGTTAAACCCTGCTTTAAGCAGTAGTCATTTAACTTAATACTACATACCTGGTGCACTTTTCACTATTGATAAAAATTAGGTACTAGGACAACTAGGTACACATAACAAAACTTTTATTTATTAGCATATTCATTTTATATATATTTTACCTGCTCTAGAAGCACTCTCAATGAATTTATCTGTAAAACATAATTTAATAAATATCTATGAAAACAGTAAATTAAAAAAAAAAAAATTGTTATAAAACAAAAATGTTACTTACTTGTGACTAAAACCTGCTTCCAATAATTCTCTGTAAAAAAGTGATTAGATTATATTTAATTTTGTATGACCAACCTGTAAGTTGGTAATTGTAAAAATAAAATAATAACCTTGATAATTTTGCGGAACATGTACAGGGACGAAAGCTATAAATAAATATATATATATATATAAAATGTTATTTTATCTGCAAATAATAAAAAATATAAAAGCAATTTGTAAAAATCCCCGTTGCCTCCAACCCGGATAATAGAACTTTTGGTTTTGCGAGCCAGTATTTATATGTTAAATATATATGAATTTCTAGGTTGCTTTGTACAAATTCACAGTCAATAGGCATTTGAATTTGTTTTTATTATATTATTAATCGAAGGTTTTGGTTTAGCAACCGTATACAGGGTGCATCTTTGATCATGGGCCATTCAATATGTAATAGTGTGTAATAAGAAATTGAATTTTTTTTGTTCATATTGATTTTTATAAAACGTGATCTCAACTTTTCACAATTTGTTTTTGTTTTTACCCCTCCCTACTTTGTTTTTTTATAGCATCTTTTGAAGTTTAAATGGTAACGTATATATTTTATTAATTTTTTAATTTAGAATATTTTACTAAAAAACTTGAATGGTTGATAACCAGTTATAAACAACTATTTTTAAAGTTATATGAGTTTAAAAGTTAGAAAGGGAGAACTTTAAAAAAAAAAATTTGTAAATTTAATAAGTAAGTAGTTAGCACTCAGGTTATTTAAAATCAACAAACAAGGCCAGCTAGAAGGGTGGAGTTTTTAGGTTTCCAAAACTCTGGTCAGATTACGCGTTTTAAAGTAGAATTAAATTTTCAAGGAGTAGTTATGGCGGCTCCTTTTATAAATAAATAAATAATTTCTTTATATTGTACTTACCTTCTTAGACATATAAAGATAAAAGTATTAAAACAATTTTAAATTTAAGTTAACAATTTAAAGTGTTACCTTCGTTACAGTCACCTTCATCAACAAACGATAAAATAAAATTAGATAACAATGCTAGCAAAATAACAGATTTCATCTTTGGAACTTTTTATTTTACACGTGTGCAAAAGTTAAAAAAAATTCAACAGAATGGATTTCACGTTTGAACTTGTCCACTTGTCTAACAAAATCTACAAGTTTGAATTTGATCTGTAAATAATAATAAACATAAAAGCAATTTATATTAACCCCAGTTGCCTCCAGTGTACAAGTTAGAAGGTTTTGGTTTTGCAGGGCTGTTTTGTGTATGATACATATATACAGAGGGATAATTTTATCGTGAATCATTAAATATCTCAAATGGTAAAATAAGAAATTTAATTTTTGTATTTTTCATAGAATGTGATTTGAATTTTTTTGTTTCACTTCCGACGTATTTTTTTTTTGATAGTAACTTTTGAAACTTGGTAAAGGTAAAGCATACATTTCATTATTGAAGAATTTGTTTTTGGATTTTAAAACGTTTTGAAAAAAGGACATGTCTTGTAGCGGCCCGAGGTCTTCAATTGGTGTATACAACCTAAAGTAAAAAAAACTATTTCATTCGGCCCAAGTCAAATAAATAATATTTACAAAAATTATTTAGATTCTCCATCATAACTCAACAAGTTTTAATTCTACAAAAATTAAAATAATACATGACTTTGTGTAAGATATTCATAATATAATTGTACAATTTTATTTTTATCATTTTTTTAGCGTAAAATAGGCAAATTCAACTTTTTTAAATTAAAATTAAACCGATAGTAAAAAAAAAAATGACTATAAAACAAAAATGAACAGAAAAACAACAACTCGGAAAAAGAAAAATTACATTTTTCATAGATTTTTTAATGTGTATATAATTATCATCATCATGTAGCTTAACGGGTCATGAAGGCCCAACGCCGTCATCAGATGGTTTCTTGACGAATTCGCTATCCGGGACGGGTCGTCAATCCGTTTATAGTTATGAAACAAACAATAAATTGTAAGTTCATATTATTAAGTGATACAAGCAAATAGGTGTTAACAAATTAAGTAAAGCAAAATAAAGTTTTTTTTGCAATTTGTCAATTTTAGAATTCTATTTTTGGCTATTATAAAAAAAAAACAAAAAATAATAATTGTACCCGTATTTTATGCAGAATTCAAAACCCTACAAAATTAAATTTATTTTTTATTTTTGTAGTTATGTTGATGGTTTTTAGATTTGATGGACAATCTAAATTTTGCTGAATAATACATTTTTTGACGACATATTTTTAAAAATTTGTTATTTTTAATTAGGTATATGTACATTAAGGAGTTACTTTTATGACGTATTGTGTAAATATAAAAAAACCGTTCACTCAAAAACGTTGTTAAAAAATGCCGTTAGACCCGTTAAAAAAATAACTAGTTATAGAAAATACTCATTGCTGTCTTTTTCACATTAAAACGTGTGGATCTAAATCTCATTCCTTTTTAGTCTTAACGTAATTAAAATTTTCAGAGTTTGATAGAAATACTTACTCATATTGTTGAGCTGATAGAATTTCTTAGACAATAATCGACTTGTTCGGCTTTTGAAACTATATGGTCTTATGCGACTTGAGCTAAGGTATATTTCGCCCGAAAAATCAGAACCGAATAGGTTTTTGCAATATCAGTATTGTTGTTTGTTTTCACAGGTGGTTCATTTTTTTTATGTTTTTTACCGTGTACATACACTCTACTTCGACGCGGAGTTAAGACTATGTTTTTCTTAGGTTTTACAATCGTCCATTTATCCAATGTTTACATTAGAGTTGCAGTGAAAATGTATTTTATATTGAGGCAACATTTCTAGGTTAACACTTAAATAGGTAAAATATATTATTGGACGGAATAGTATTTTTTTTTCTTTTGAAATTTATATCATGGTTTTACAATCATTTCAGACCTAGAAATGTTATTCTTATAATAATAGTTTAAGCAATTTCCCTTTTCAATTCGTATTTTGCTGAATTTTATTTTTCAAATTTGCAATTAGTACATAACTATTAAACTGGTTTTTTTGGTGTGATCACCCTTCAGGTTGGTTTTACAGTTTTCCATAGTTTCACCATTCCTCTCTATTACCAGCTAGTCTCTTTAATTCCCTATAATTTGCTAGACCAGCATCGGTTATTATCTTTTTGATGTACGATGTTCTTAGTCGTCTCCGACTCTTTTGACATTTATCTTCCCTTCTACTATAATATATAGAAGCTCTTTTGTGTATCTCAGCACATGACAAATCATATTTTATTTTCAATACATTGTAATATATGGGTAACCGTCTATCGAAATCGGGATCCCATAGTCCCCATAGACCTAGAAAGGATTGGATAGTCCGTACCATTAGGGCGTGTGGTCGATATTTTTTAGCAGAATTTTTAATCTTGCCTGGTTTTTTTTTTATTGAAAATTTCTATGCGTTCTTCATCATACCATTCTTCGTTTATAACGTTCTTAGTGTCACCTACACTCTCCTAGGCTGCGTTATGCTTTTGAGAAGCTCCTATAGGTCTTCTATTTGATATTTGTTGTTTATGTCTCCTAGGCTACTTAGTCTTGTGTCAAAAGATATTTTTTTAGGCCATCTTCATTTTTCAGGCATTCAGTGTTCCATCTCTTTCTTTCTATGCCTTTGTCTTTTTGTATGTTAGCTAAGCGTTGTCTAGATATTGCACGAAATAGATAGTGATCGGTATTGCAGTTGGGGTCTCTCATCGTGCTTGTCTTCATCAATTTTAGCTGAGACGAGCTTAAAAGACAATATGGTCAATTTGATTAACTACGTTCTATCCAGGCATCTCTCATGTTCCTTTGTGTGTGAGAACAAGTACTTTTAATTATTATCCTACCATTTCTGCACATTAAACCAAGAGTAAACCATTATCACTCGTGTAGAGAAAATCGTCCTGCTACTGATCTTATTTATTCCGATCTTTGCGTTAAAGTCACCCATTATAAAAATCATGTTTGGGTACCTTATCAATGCTTTTTTCTAGGCTGTTGTGAAAATCATTCTTTGCTTCTTCATCAGAGACTTCAGTTGGGTCGTATACTGAGAATTTTGATATATTTCTGAATTTTCCTTTAAGTCTTATTTTGCTTATCCTGTCTGATATGGCTTTTAAAGTTTAAAAAGAACTTGCTCATTTTCTTGCTCACGTAAAATCCGACACCATAACTTCCTGTTTTCTTTTCAGGGCCACTGTAGTATTATGTATAGTCGAACTAAATTTACCTTTATAATATCTAAGGTATAGGAATAAGAATAAGAATTAGAATAAGTTTTTAAATTTTAATGGATATTTATTTTACGTAAGATGTGGTTATTCTGAAATAAATACAATTCGCATAGAGCTTCATGTTTTGATTAAAATACCAAAATAACCAAAACACTGAATTAACAGTTTTTTTTCAGTTGCTCATATTAAAATTTTAATTATGTAAATACAATTAAAATTTTTATATTCAAATCCTTATGCAGACACAAAACTATTAAAAAAAAAAAAATTCATATTAGAGGGAAGAGATGTCAAAAATTTACTAAAACAAAATAAGAAAAATAAACTGAGATAGCCGTTTTGAAGTTGAAATGAAAACTCATATCATAAGTCGCTTATGATATGAGCCACTGCATAAGCGATAAATGATAATATACCATTTGAACTTCAATTACAAATATTATAAAACACAATTCCTATTTAAATTATATAGGAAATAAACAGTTTTGTTAAAATTTCCAAAAGTTAGGTTTGAGAAATATTATCCCTTTCCACTCGGCTGTTCAAATAAACAGACGTCATGAGAATTTGGAAAAATAATTTTGAGAGGACGTGGTATAGCTGATGGATGGGCTGTAGCTAATCAAAGACGAGAAATATTGTTAGGCCTTACTTGACATCCATGTTATCAAAAAGTTGATTAAAAAAGCCTTAAAATATTGTTTTATTGTACTTTAGTCAAAGTTTGTGAGATTATCTGTTAAGTTAAATAAGACGAATGTACAACTCATAGATTTTCGATCAATTAATTTCACGACAGTGTAAATTTCCTTTTATTTATTATTCTCTAATGAAATCACTTTTTATTTCTAACTTAGTAGCTTTTCGTTATATTGTCCTCCAATAACTTAAAATTCTTATTTTATACTTAAAATAAGTACTTAAATTTCACTTTTTTATGCGCTTGTCATAAACCAAGTTGTTTTTGTTTTATCTAACAAAAATTAGATTATGGTATGATATTATAGATGACTACACAAGACACGTATATTATTTTTAAACATAAAACAAGTACTTTTTCTTATTTTTTGCTTCTGAGTCGTGGCCGAACGTCTGTAATGCTCATGTTATAAGTTTTGTATTGGGTGGCTATTGCTCCACATACCTGATTAGAAATATAGTAAATTAAACAGAATAGCGAAGTGCCTCATAAAAATACCAAGCACTACTTTTTTTGTATGAACAAAAATTATACCTTAGGTGTGTGCCTATGTCGCCTGCTTGAGGCGGGCCTGAGTGTTAGCACCATTGTACTGCACACTTAGTTAACTAAAAACTGAAGGTTGTACACACAAAAACTAAACTTCTTAGATAATAATAATTTAGAGAAGTAATAACATACATTTTAGACATATTCATAACCGTTTAGTTTAATATTAATATTATACTTAAGAATAATAATATTATTGTGTTATACTATTTTGATATATTATTTAACTATATAATATAAAAATTAAATGTTCATAACAAAAGTTATAAACTATAATATACAATAAAATAATTTTTCGAATTATTTGATTCATCATTACTTAAAAAACATACTTCTATTAACCGACATAAGATATAATAAAGCCAACAATGTATACCAGTATAAAATATAATTTAAATACTTGTTATTAGTTAAATTATAATTACGCTTAATTCTAATCTACATCTAATTCGACTTTTTTGAAAAATTATCTTATTTTTACACATAATTATTTCAACTATTTTGACTACTGTGGTCGTTTTTTTCGTCTTTTTTTTTATAAAATTTAACCTCTTTTTTTTTTTAACTTTATATTAATTCCTGGCTTGACTTTTAAAAGAATTCTTAATTTTAATAATACTAAATGTAAAATTACAATACATTTACAAGTCATGATAAACTTACTGGACCGCTTTTTATAAGTTATTTATGAGAATAAACAGTTAAGACAACAGCTAAATGTTTAGTTAAGTCAATAGATAATGTATTATTTTATGATCAAGGGTTTTTAAACAATCATTATTATATATATAAATATAAGCATTTTTTTTTTTTTTTGCTTAACGCGCCATTTAGGCGCTTCGCAGCTTCTACCAAAGCTCTCCAAACTTCTCGATCCTCTGCATCCTCAATACTTGCTCCATTGCGTGATCTCTTCAGGTCGTCCTTAACTCGGTCCAACCACCGTTGTCTTGGCCTTCCTACAGGTCGTTTTTTATTTGGTTTGTTGATGAGTACCTGTTTTATCAGTCCACCCTCTGCACGCCAAACATGGCCAGCCCACTCTAACCTTTTCGACCTCAGAAAATCTTTTAAATTGGTTGTATTAAACAGACTGTTTAAGTCAGCGTTTTTTCTTCGCTCGTATACACCAGTATTGGGGTTTAATATAGGCCCATATATTTTTCTAAGTATTTTCCTTTCGAAAGTCAATAGGTTATTCTCGTCACCCTGCGTCGTGGACCATGTCTCACATCCGTACATGACAATTGGGCGCAAGTAGGTAATGTATAGTTTTTTTTAATTGTGTCTCTAGATAGCAGTTTCGATGTGAACATTTTCCTCATTGCACGGTATCCTCGGTTTGCTGCACTTATCCTGGACTTAATCTCGTTATGCATATTATTTTTATGAATAAATATAAGCATAAGTTGCATCAAATTTTTGTAGATCCTATTTTTTTTACTTTTTACAGTACTTACTTATGCGCTGGATTATACCATACTTGGTTTATACTGGACTAGTTTATTTTTAAAATTGTGTTTAGGCGAATAATTAAGATTATGAAAATTGTGCAAAGTTAGATTAAAAGTGTAGCTGAACAATGTATATTTATAAAAATATACGTTGTGATAATTAAGAGACACAATACTAATTATGGTTGTGTATAATTTTAATATGCATTTATATATTATATTCACGTGTGATTAAATTTTTATAATTTTTACTATTATTCATTACTACATTTAATAAAACAAGAAAATATGTACATATTATTTTGTTTTACAGAGCATTGTTAGCAAAAGCCATTGGGAAATTTTTTATTAAGTTTTCTAAAATAGTTATAGTTTGATATTTTTGAAAATTTTTAGTTTAAAAATAGTGGACGCACTATGCCGCCTGGCAATATTTGCGTCCAGTCGCCATTATGAATTCTGTATATTTTGTTTTGCCAAGGGCCATGATATAGGATGCAATCACGATCTTCGTAGTTAATTCTAAGCCTGTTTATGAACGATTCTGGAAATGTTGCACTCAAGTATATCCCTGTCAAACGACACATTCGTATTAAAAAGTCATCAGTATCCGGTAGATTATACACGAGTTCATCTAAAAAAAAAATTAATTTGCAAAATTTAGTATACTGGATACTGTTTTTTTTATGGTGAAAGACACAACTATCTTATTTGAAAACGTCATTAAAAATAATAGAATATGAATGGTGACCGTATTCTATAGCCACGCAGTTTGTATTTCAAGACAGTACATTACTGTTTCAAAAGCCATACCTTATATTAATATTTACCTAATATATGTTGGATTGTATTTTTTATAGCTGGTCCAGTACATTCCCTTCTCTTGTCTCCAATGGTTTCCAAAGCTAAGCCTACAAAATCCACGATAATCATTTTTACATGCCCGTATATAGTAAAAATAAAAAAATAAAAACAAAATATTTTAGTTGCTAGTGGTGCATAACTCAAAGAATCGTGGTTCAAGTAATTTGTTGTATTTATTCTATACTGGAACTCCCAAAGATCGTAATACACATTAACACTATAATCCAATTACGGTTAGCGTGAACATATACAGGGTAATCATTTTATCGCGAACCACTCAATTTCTGATAGGGTTTCATAGAAAATAGTAAAACACATATTTTTTACACAATACAATTTAAATAATTAATAGAGACCAATTTTTCATTTTTGTCAATCTTTATTAGGGTGAACCAACTAACATTTCTACCTTGCTATACAAAAAATTCAGTTAAGTGATCAAGGAAATATTGTGGGTCTAGTAAAAAAATGTATATACGAGTATATACAGGGTGATCCAACTAACGTAAGACACTCGAGTTCTCTGAAAATATGAATATTTTGAGAATTGTATTTTTCCTAAACCATTAGGTACATAATATTTTACACAATTTTTCAATATTTTGAAATTTTTTATCCCTAGTTCTTATAGGCCAAAAAGGAGGATTTTTGATTTTTTAAATGGCAACATATTTTGTTTTTAATTACATAAACTTGTACACATAATTGAAAATTTAAAATTCAAACGCTAACCCTCTCCGTGTGGTAACGCTTTTTTGATAGCGCTAAGTAAATAACGCTTTTTTCGGTTATGTGCCAGCTAAGACACGAAAATGTCAAAAACCAAAAATCCTCCTTTTTCGCTTATGAGGATTGGTGATCAAATTTTTCATCACATTGTATAAAAGCATTAACGTTCAAAAACGTTTAAAATATCATCATAAATGGTCACTAAGTCTCACTCTCTTTTCTCTTTCTGTATCCATAACAAAAAGTTTGTTTTGTTAAAATTATTGTTTGACATAAAACATTTATTTAAGAAAATTAAGCAAATTTCAACTCTAAAGCAAGCAACGCCATTTATGACTATAGAAAATTCGTAATTACTTTGGGTTTCATCAATTGCAGGATCGCCAAGTCCTGTAATAAACACATCAAATCATTATGCACTTATAAAACTCAGTTTGGAGGAAGTTAGGGTAGATTTGAATGCGGGGTACATTTAAATAATGCTGATAAAACTATTTTCACTGGGCAGAAAATAACGAGAAAAAATATTTTAAGTAATCGCGCTGTTGAAGTATCGTTTGTGTTATCTGCGGATTCTGATTTCAGACTGATTATGTGATTAAGAAAAATAAAAATGTCATTAATTTTAAGTACAAAATAATGTATACGAATCCCAAATTTGGTTTTCTTTTAATTTGGTATCTACACGTAAATTTATTGTAATTATTTTATCTGATGTATTACTAAATATTAACAATTATAAAGTGAGGTGGATTTGAATTGGCGACCATGGAGTCCATTTCAATATTCTACTCTGTAGAACATTCATGTTCTATATTTACTTTAAATACAGAAAAACGTTTTTTATACGAATTAAATTGTATTGTACATATTAAAATATATTAATCAGACACACTCAAATCCGTCCCCGTTAAATTCAAATGTACCCCATAACAAGGGTACATTTGAACAAAATTATACATTTATAGATGAGAAATGATAAATTACTTGATTGAGAAAGTTGGGAATAGTATTATAATGTGTACAAATATTCAAACTACAGATTGGAACTCCCAAACTAGAAATTTTCCATAATATTAAATTAGGGAAAATAATGATATGATTTAATTTAAATTTACACCGTCTTCCTCTATATATTTTATATAAAACAGTCACTTAAAATAATATTAACTAGAGCAAATAATTATTGCAAAATATTATTGAATAAATGTTTAATTATTTCTAATAGCAACATTTGTAGAAATAGTTTATATTATATTTTGAATAATCATCAAACGCATAAGTATAAAACATAATATGTTATATAGCTTTTAATTAGTTTTTCTTTAAAACTACAAACTAGTATATTTATTATTTTTTTAAATTTTATATTTACCCAATGCATTTTTTATTTTAAGGCCCATATTATACTGGTAATGTTTTAAATCTAAAATTTAAACAAACTATATTTCATTGTAATTACATCTTTTTTATGACTAAAGTCAAAATGTTTTATTGGTGTTATTCAATAGGTACATATGGCTAATCGTAAAGTATTTATAAACAATAAACATGCGTTAAGTATATTAAATATGAGTTATAAAAATGTGGTTACTGGTCATATTGTCATCGGATGGCATAACTGTTTCTTCTGAATCTAAAAAAAAAATTCTTGTGTGCATAAAGGATCTCAATTATTTGTATGTAACAGGTCAATATAAGGCAATGAAAACAATTACCCACAAAGAGGAGAAGATCTCTGTCATCTGAAATTAACATTACATAGATTAATAATATTGTGTTTAAATTTGTATAATAATATTATAAACAGAAAGACAAGGAAGCTCAAGGAGTGAAGAAATGTGCTCCACTGTATATTCAATACAACGAGAATCTCTGCAAATTCAATGGGATTGAAGTATTTTCATAAAATTGAACAAAAATTATTACCCGGTGCAGCGATCATACTATTGATTATAACTGAAATTTACATTACATAAATTAACGATATTGGAATAAATTTATTTGCTATTAAAAATTATAAAACTACATAGTTATAGTTTAGAAAACGAAAGTCAAGTAGAAAAAAACTATATAAAATAGACTAAGCAATATTTATGAAAATATAATTTATCAATTGAAGTAGTTATGGGGATGAGAATAAAATACAATAAACAGACGAGATTGACAGAGCTACCAGCAGTGTTTTTTTTATAAAGATTCCATTTAGATTTAAAGAAAAATGTTATGTTTATATCACTTTACAATTACACAACGATAGAATTTAGATGCAATTTTTATAGTATTTTCAAATGTTAATTCTTCTTTTTTCTTTTTTCTTTAGTTTTCATTATTATTATTATAATTATGACTACCAAAATCTTTGAAATGAACGTTATCATCAACCAGTTCAGTAATTATTTGCTCCAATCTACCTAGAATAAAAAAAAAATTAGGTATGTACTGAAATATTGAAATAAAAAAAAATTAGATACTATATTATTATAAATCATTTGAATACTGTTAATTATATAACCCAGCTTTAAGCAGTAGTCATTTAACTTAACACTACATACCTGGTGCACTTTTCACTACTGATAAAAATTAGGTACTAGGACAACTAGGTACACATTACAAAACTTTTATATATTAGCATATTCACTTTATATATATTTTACCTGCTCTAAAAGCATTCTCAATGAATGTATCTGTAATGATGTTTTACATCATTTAATAAATATGTATGAAAACAGTGAATTTTAAAAGTTGTTTGTTAAAAAATAAAAATGTTACTGACTTGTGATTAAAACCTCCATCCTATAGTCCTCTGTAAAATAATGATTAGATTATTTTTCAAATTTTTATTTCCTACCTTAAGTTGTTATTTGTAAAAATCAAATAATAACCTCGATATTCTACCGGAGCAAATACAGGAACGAAAGCTATAAAACAGAAAAATGTCATTTTTATCTGCAAACAATAATAAACATAAAAGCAATTTTAAGTAATATTTTTTAAAATACTTTTTATTTATTACTAAATTGGGTATCAATATTCTAAATAAATAAGTCAAACCTTTTGAAAAAATTTTTTGAAATATCAACATTGTTTTTTTTCTCCCAAGAGACTTATAACATTTACTTATGATTTTTTTGTATTTAAGATTAACAAATTATACTTACTATTATTAACTTCTTCATCAAATATGTCCTCAGCTATGGCTTCTGATGTTGAAGCTAAATAAAATAGTTAAGTAGTTTTTAAAGTTAAGGATAAAGCTTAAAATGTTTATTCTTATACAATTTTTTTTTGTACTTTTATTATTAGAAACTAGTAAAAACAAAAAGATCAAAATTTTTATTTAATGCGTGTTATTTTGTTTTTATTAAAAAGAGAAATTTGAAGGTTTGATGCAAAACTGAGCAATTATGGTTTTTATAACGTTTTTTATTTTATGCTTGTGTTTGCACCCATGATATCAACCAAGATCTGTTTATGCAGTAGATCATAGTTCGTTGGCCCAAAAGTTAAAATGCTTTGCTCTAATACCACCAAAACTAAAAAAAAAATAGAAAACGTAACACAACGATTCAAAAAAAATATACTGTGATTTAAGTTTAGATCAAGATAGATTGTAAGTATTGAAAAATCCACTGGGTGATTGATTAGTTATGACCCAACTGGTAACTTAGAAGTTATTATACTTTTTTAAAATTATTCTTTATTATATTTGTATCATTTGATAATTCATTAGATTTTAATATTTAATTGAAACGCAAATACATTCAATACATATTTAAAAGATAAAAGTATTAAACAAATTGTATAGTGTTACCTTTCAAACAGTTACCTCCATCAACAAATGATACAATAAAATTAGAAAACGATATTAGGAAAATAATAGGTTTCATCATAGGAACTTTTTATTTTAAACGTTTGCAAAAGCTCAAAAAATGTCAACAGAATGGATTTTACGTTTGAACTTGTCAACTTCAGAATACCTCCTTTAGTGTTTAGCGAACAAAAACAATTTGATCTGTAAACAATAATAAACATAAAATAATTTATATTGATTCCAGTTGCCTCCAGTGCACAAATTAGAAGGTATTGGTTTTGCGGTGCTGTTTTGTATATGATACGTAAATACAAGGGGATCGTTTTATTGTGAATCATTCAATATCTCATAGGGTTAAATAAGAAATTAAGTTTTTGTTTTATCATAATGTTTTTATACAATTTAATCTGAATTTTAGCTTCGATGCGGAGCAGTGATGCTATTGGTTATACAATGACGTGGGCTTTTTTTTTAATAAATAAATTCTCAAATTAAAAATTATACCCATTTCCAATCCCCCTAGGAAGTTTTTTGGGTATTTTAGCCGTAATTTTAGAACCTTAAATTGAAAATTTGTCTGGAGCTAGTACTCATATAACACTTTTGTTAATAATAATTACTGTAGACCTGTGACCTCTCCGTCCCCTCTATGCTCTATGCTTTGATTCCATTAAGCTTCGAACCCTACTGTACAGTGCAAACTACAAAAAAATGACTATAAAACAACAATGAACAAAACAACAAAAACTCGGATTAAATATTAAAAAAAAAAATAGTTTCCATAGACTTATATTAGATTTATAATGTGTACCTATATAATTATCAAACAAACAATAAATTATAAGTGCTTTTTATTAAGTGATAAAATAAAGTAGTTGTTTCTTGCATTTTAATATTGAAATGTTTTGTATTAAATATGAGCATTTTTTTCTAGACTGTAGCAAGATTTTTTTTAAATATAGAAATCATTATTTACAAATTTTCATAATCCGGGTTTTTTTGTTTTCTGTTGTTTTATAATCAATTTTGTTTTCTTATTTGACTTTTATGCATGGTGTTCCAGCATGAAAGTTAAGTGATAGGTAATTGGACATCTGACATTCCGTTTTCATTTTTTCGATAAGTCAAAAATTAAAATTTTCGACAGTTAGGTAAAAAATAATGACTATAAAATAATAAAAATTCCTCCCTGTTATTCATTGCAAAAAGCCCACCTTAAAAGAGTGGACACGTCATTTTCAGTCTCTTTCGGTCCATAACTAAAAAAATGACAAGAGAAAAATGATTAGAGACAAGAAATAAGAAGTAAATGATAAGAGATAAATAATTAGAAAGATAGAAGAATGATAAAAGATAAAAGACGAGAGATTAGAGATAAGTGATAAGAGATAAATGATTAGAGGCTAGAGGTAACAAAAAAAGTTTTTCAGCCGAGTCTGCAACCACGAAAGAGCATTTTCATGTCTCGTTAAAGTACCGAATAAATTTAGAGTAGTGGTGGAATTATAAATAATGATATAGTATATTAAGAAGCAGTAACAAGCTAGTATATTAAAATATCAAGTTTCTGGCTAATATTGTAGTGTTTAATATCTGGCTTAAAACAATTCATAGAGAATTTGCGCCCTTAAACTATTTTGAATTTATCATTTAGTTCTAATTTGAACGTAAAACGTACAGCATATCTCTTATCTCTTACCTCTATCTCTTGCCTTTATCTCCTACCACCTATCTCCCACCCCTATCTCCAACCCCTATCTTTCACCCCCAACCCCATCTTCATCCCCATACCCACCCACAACCCCATCTCCGTGTGGTAACGCTTTTTTGATAACGCTTTGGTTATGTGCTAGAGCTAAGACATGAAATTTCAAAAAGGTATGATAAGTGATAGGAGACGAGTTAAGGGCCAAAAAAACTGAAAATGATGTGACCCATTTTTAAGGTTTAGCTTTTTGCACTAAACAACAGGGAATAATTTCCTTTTTTTTTAAGTCATTATTTTTTTACTTAACTGTCAAAACCTGCAATTTTTGACTTATCGAAAAAATTAAAAACGGGGGCCTTATTTGGGGGTCCCCCAATCACCTATTACTTACCTTTCATGCTGGAACACCCTGTGTAAAACAAGCTGTCCGGACCCGGCATTGCCCGGTATTTAGTTTGCCAGGGCTGAGTAAAGTACATACACTGTAGATAAAGTAATTTTTCAGAAAAACTTTGTTTACTAAAAAAATTAAGTAAAGTAAAAAAAGTTGTTTTTGCATTTTTTCAATTTTGGAATTTTTTTTTTTTTGGCTATTTTAAAAAAAAAGCAAAAACTAATAAATTATTATACCCGTATTTCATACAGAATTCAAAACCCTACAAAATTATATTTATTTCATTTTTGTCGTTATGATGATGGTTTTTAAATATGATGGACAATCTAAATTTTGTTAAATAATAATTTTTTTGACGACACATTTATAAAAATTTGTTATTTTAAATTAGGTTTGTGTACACTAAGGAGCTACTTTTATGAGATATTATGAAAACGGTTTCAACATTTCATTTTTTACACTACACTTTATAGTGTACATCAAGCCAAATAATGAAAAAATCTATTATAGAATTCTCCTCAAAATATAAATATGTAAAATGCATTATTTGTAAAAAAAAATATAAGAAAACCGTTCGCTTAAAAACGTTGTCAGACCAGATAAAAAAATAACTAGTAATAGAAAATACTCATTATTGTTTTTTTTCACATTAAAACTTGTGGATGATTAATTTCATTCCTTTTTAGTTTTAACGTAATTACAATTTTCAGAGTTTGACAGAAGTACTTACTAATATTGTTGAGCTGATAGAATTTCTTAGACAGTACTCGACATGTTTTGCTTTTGAAACTATATGGTCTTGCGACTTATAAATGAGCTAAGGTTTATTTCGACCGAAAAATCAGAATCTAATAGGTTTTTTCAGTGTAACTATAGTTAGTTATTTTCGCAGGTGATTATTTTATTTTTTTTATGTGATTTATTGTGTACATACATTACTTCCACGCGGAGCTACGTGGACTATGATTTTCTTAGGTTTTACAATCACCCATACATCTAATGTTTACATTAGAGAGTTGCAGTACAAATGTATGACAAAATTTCTAAGTGAAAAATGCTTAAATCAGAAAAATGTATTTTTGGACGGAGTAGTATTTTTTTTTTTTGAAAATTGTATCACGGTCTTACAATTATTTCAAACAGATTGAAAACTCGTTTTTAGTTGTGTTATTTATTATATATACACATAAACTAACCTGTTAGACATTCACCAATGCTCACACGTGTACAGACATTTCGAACGGGGCTAAATTTAGATTCCAAGTAATAATGTGTTAGTTTTGATTTGATACTATGAATTGTCGTCGTATGAAATGCGCTAGTTTTTATCATGGGCCAATCAATATTTCGCTGGGTTTAATTAATAATTTTTTTTTTTTTTTTTCATAGTGTTCTTATATAAAGTGATCTCAATTTTCCACAAATTTGTATGTTTCTACGCCTCTCCCAAATTTGCTTTTTTTTTATAGCAACTTTTGATTTTCAAATGGGATATTATGTTTTTTTTTTTAAATTATGGTTTAGAACTTAATAATGTATAACGTATACCATACACCTATTTAGTTAATAGTTTTAACTTTTAACAATTACTTATAACGTGTTTTCATCAGCAAGTCGATTTAATTCAATTTTACATTCAATTGCTATTAAAATGTTATTCGGCATTACTAAAATCAATTTCATAATACTTATATTTGAAAAATGTAGAAAAAAGTTCAACACGGTGACGCTCATTTATTTACTCTATTAGTCGTTGACTTATTTCAGGTAAGATTTAAACAATTCAGGTATTATTAAATTATAAAATGGATACTAAAATCAATTTGTTTGTTATGTTTTTGTTTTAGATAACTACTTCTCGAAATGTGTTATTTCTTAATTATTGCTTGCCAAGTACAGTTCAAATCAATCCGCGCAATATGGAATATCAAAAAAATATTTGCAGTCAACTTATGACAATGAGCTGTGCATTGTATTAATTCTGTATTAATGTATAGTTTTATTACTTGAAATACATCTAAAAAGAACCCATACAGTATACACAATAGCAAATCATTTAAATAGTAAATTACTATAGTCATCAATTTACTCTTGCTGGAAGATTACTGTTCCTTGTTTATAATTTAATATGACTTAAAGATTGAAAATATTACCAAAGAATAGTTTAACGACCTACTTTGAAATTAATTTATTAAAATATAACAATTATCAGTACCTACCTAGATAATCACTATTTTTTTAGCGTTACATAGGGTTTTTAAGTATTGAGTTGAACACTCATTATTAATTATACTTATCCATTCATAAAAATTGTTTTTTTTTCTTCAATTATCTGTTTTAAATTATTTATTATTTATCAAAATAATCTGCCTACAAATGTATGTGTAATAATTACTATCTTAGTTTAATGTATCAGTTTGAGTGTACCCATGTTGAACAGTTTGTATAGTTAAAAGTAATTATTTGTTAGTTAAGTTAAAAAAAAACTTCTAATAACTTGCTTTAATTTTGACAACATTTTAACATTTTCTTGATTGTTTTAAGAGGTAATATTTATTTTAGTTCAACGTGAATTGATCTTACCCGATATTATGATTTAATCATTAATGGCATATTTGGTCATGCAGTTTTGAATAAGTTATATATTGTCTCTTAAACAGTTTAAGGCAGTGTTTAAATTGTTTAAAATAATAAAATGTAATTTGAGTAAAGAGGTACTTAGTGTTCGACAAGGAAATCTCAAACAAGAGTTCTGTAAAAAAATAATTATTTCGTAAAATTGTTGTACTCTTGATTTTGTTTAATGAAATCATGTTTGTATAAATATTGTTATTGTAATACACTAGCATACACTAGTTTATAAATACTTGGTTAAATTTTATAAGACTCCTATGAACTATGAATATTATGTTATTTTCACTATGTATACATTATAAAAAAACTAATTATTTACCGAAACTTAAGGTGTTGAATATTATGCATATCTACCAGGAATTTTATATTTGTCATTAGACTGTTCCATTTTAATAACATTTGTTTTCTTTTAATTACGAACATTGTAGGTACTTTTGTGTTATGCGACTGCCATATGAGTGATAAACTATAAATAATATTTTCTATAGCTATACGTAGAAATGGATACAATTTAGAAAGCATTAGGTAACAGGGTTGTTATATTTGTCAGCGTTATTAAACATTTTACAAAATTTTTTTTTTTTATTGAGGCTTCTACAGTTTGTTTTTTTTAATGTTAATTTTTTACCTGGCTGACGTGCGTGCATACAAAAATGATACAAGTGAACGTGTCAAATACTAATTATTTATTATGTTTTATGCAGTTTTCTACTAAAAACATTTAAATAAGAACAAAATTGTTTATTATTTGTAATCACATCTCAAATGCTTCCAATTTATTTGTGATGTCATCGTTCAGAATCACTACTCCATACATACAGCAGCACAGATAACGCATATAATATTGTAAGTCTCATATTTGTTTCAAGAGAGAGATTGTGACTTGATGGTTGCGCTAATTTTTGTTAAATGTTGTTCTCACTTATACAATGCGATACTTTATTTTTATATGATTAGATAATATTAATTTAATAATCCGTACGTCAAGACCTATTAACGTAAACCACAAAGTTATTTATTAAAAAAAACAGAATAATATCATAAGTACTGTGTAACTATAAAGTATAAACTATGAAATGCATAATTATTAATTATTGACATTCGACAATCTACAGACTACAATATCTTTATTAATTTAGTGTGTTTTGTTTCATAGTACTAAACAAAATAATGATAATAAGTATAAAATACTCAACCGCAAATAACCACATCTTCTGTATTATCTAATTGTGATAACTGATAAGTATGAAATGGTCAAACGAAAATAATAATTAGGTAGGTATATAATTTCATTATTATTGGGGCGACATGCATCCGCCACGTCATTATCTATAATAACTTTATTGAGTGGGAACAATGACTAGGGGAACTTATGACGGAATGTCCAGTGGATGAAAAATTGATTCTATACATTTTCCAACAGTGATTATGATACCTCAAAATAGTACCTACATAAAAGTGTTTGCGAGCAGCATTGACGCGTGCTCTCCATTCCCCCCCTGCCTATATATTCAAACGAATGTAGCTATGTAACTACACATCCAAAATAAAAAATTTAAGTGCACATACTTAAATATACTATAGCACTTGATAATTTTAACAAAAAAAATGTATGTTGCTATCGAAATAACTAATTTGGGAGTTGGGTAAGAATATAAAAATTTGTGAAAAATTGAGATCACATTATATAAAAACTGTATAAAAAAAAAAAAAATCAATTATTAAATAATAAACCCAGCGAAATATTGACTGGCCCATGATAAAAAAATCACCCTGTATTACAATAAACCTTAAAGCGCGTCAACAACACACTGTAGGCAATATTTTTTTTGCGTCTAATTTACCTATAATTCGTATCGGTATGAAATAGTATATAAGCAATAATAGTACACATAAGAATACTTAATAATGGTCTATGTGTCCAGATTTTTCGGACTCTTAAATGCGCTAGTAAAGAAAAGACATTGATGTATTGTGTGTAAAAACACAATTATTTTTCACTGCTTATAGTGTCTTTTTTTATTTGTCGTACCGATGCGAACAACAAATGAGTAATAGCCTACAGAAAAATACTTCTTTAAACCAATACACAACCACGCCGAAAATTTCACAAATCTAGAATTTAGCACACAATAACGTGTTGAAAAATAATATAAAATCATAATGCTTTTCAATTTAAAAATTTTTATTCTGGTTGCCGTATAGAGTAAAACGTTTTATGTTCTTGATAGTTAGATGGTTACACTATCAATTTTTAATTATCGACACAAATAAATGTATCAACAATACATAATCAACTGATTGGTCATTTTTTAAGTCGACTTTTATTGGTTAATAAAATTATACAACTTCTATTTATAATACCCTGTG